ATATTGCAATATCCAATCCCAGTCGCAAGGTTCCGATACGCATTTCCAAGCGCTAAAAAATGAAAATTACCGAATCAGACCCTAATCTCCAGTCTCCGATACCAGGCCCATACTGTAAAATACGGTCTTTCGAAGCCGAAAATTTTTACAAGTCAGAAATCTCGGAAACGAAAAGTCGTATTAAAATTCGGTCAGTACAGTTTTCCGATCTTCGAAAGTGGAAAAGAATCGTATCGATCCGCAACGGATCGGAGGAGGGTGATTTTCCGAAAATTTTTCAATTTCCCGAATCAGACCCTACTCTACAGTATCCGATACCAGGCCCATACTGTAAGATACGGTCTTCCGAAACCGAAAATTTTTACAAGTCCGAAAATCCGAATTTTTTTGCACAATCTGGCAACACTGTATCGAAAAATTAACTAATTTCTCGCCCCATCTGGCAACACTGTAAAATGCGATGTTGCAAAATTTCACCAATAAATAAACCATTTATTTAAGTGCACCGTCCGGCAACGCTGCTGCGCCATCTTGAAAAATACACCATTGCATAAACCGCAGATTGAAGGGGCTACATTGCACGATTGCATAACCCGATTATTGAAGGGGCAACATGCAATACTTTTACTTTACAGCGTTGTCATATTGAATAATTATCCATATACAACACTGTAATTTAATTAGTATTTTTCTGCACCATCATGCAACGCTGTACGATTTTTATTGGATTTTTTACCTGGTCAAGTCCTCATTTTCATACTACTATCCTTTCTTAACTAACGTAACTTGCTTACGTCGGCTTCCACTTGTATTTCTGTTGAAATTTTGTAAAACCATGCTTCTTGTTTTTTCAAGAGAAAAACACAGTAAAATAATGCATAATCAAACACTTACTTGAAATATGACAACGTTGCCAAGGATATAAGTAATGCTACTAGAGAGACGAGGTATCCTGTTTCATAAATTCCGATCACTTGTAGTCGCACCTGAAATCAATATACATTCTTACTCTTTTTAATTTGAAGGCTGAGTTTACTTCAGTGTTAGTAAATTTTAGTTTCCTTCCTCACCAGCTATTTTGAATTCCCCTACCGTCCCCCACCTTCCCTCATCGTCCTCCATCTTCCCCACCTTCCCCCATCTTCCTCCATATTCCCCCACCTTCACCCACTTTCACCCACCTTCCTCCACCTCACAATCCTTCTCAATAATTCCTCCCTGAGAGCGGAAAATACCTGTCAAACAAGGGATCTGCATAGAGTTTTCCAGCCTCTTTTGGCTACATTGAACTATTTTACGCTATTTTTGGCCATTTCTGGCGATGTTCGATTATTTTGGGGTGTATTAGGCTGACGGCGCTATTGTAGAATCAGTTTATGACGTCATTAGGCACCCTTCAAATATTGAAAGTAAACAAATGATTATTTCAATACATTATTTTTTAAAGCTAATGCAGCTCTAAGAACTGTACCTAGCCCGGCGTCCCTTGCTCGGGTTGCTTGGATGCATGAAAACATTAAATAGATTTCAATGAATGAAGTTTTTCTTCTTCTCGTTTTCCAAAGCACAGCTTTTCGACAACTCCCGAGTAGAGCCTCAAGGATTGCTTGCTTCTGTTGCAAGCTGGCTCTCATTTAGAAGTTTGTAAGTAGGTGGATTAGAGTTAATCGAGAAGACCGAAAGCTTCGAACATACCTACAGCACTTTTATTAATAATCACCAGCACGAGACAAGCGGAATAGGCTTCATAACAGAATGTTGCAAGCTGGCTTTTATTCAGAGGCTTGTAGGAATCCGAGTTAATCGTGAAGACCGAAAGCTACATACACACAACACTTTTATTATTAATCACCAATACGAGAAATGAGGAATAGGCTTCATTACGGAAGCAACATGGAGGATAGCTGCAGCAAGGAGGAGGGCCCTACCAGGTGCTCATTGATCTACAGGGTGTCCGGAGTTAGCGCACTTAACTTTCGGAATCGCTTTTTCGGCTCAAAATATGACTTTTTTTTTCCTATACACATATAACCGAAAACGCTTCATAAAGTGAGCTATGCGCTTCCAAAGTTGCCATTTTTTCCTTTCAAATTGATGTAAATCCTCGTCATTTTTTCATAAGTGGCTGAAACTTGGTATAGGAGGGTACCTACTTTTTAGCACTCTATTAATTTTTTGTGTTTTCAAGGACGCACGTCTTCGAAAAAGACCCCTTTATTCTTGCCAAGTTTGAAAGGAATCGTTCCGACAGTTTTTTTGTAAAGTGTTGTTGAAATCACGGTACAGAAGCTTTATATGTATAAAGCTCCTGAAAGTTAAGTACACTAACTCCCGGACACCCTGTATATGCAATGATGCAGCTATTGGTAAAGCTATTCCATTCAATGTTGAGAGGGGGCAGGGTGGCACATTTTATGAAAAATAAAACCTTGAAATTTCAGAAATTTATGAAAGATATTGAAAAATACCGGTTCCTTTTTACGTATCGCAAAGTGTAAATTTGTGACTTTCTTTTTTGTGTGCGTTTTAGTGCGGGTTGCATACTGTAACACTTGAACAATACGAAATATATCACAGCCTCGTGAAATTTCATGAAATAAGTCACTGCAAATGCTAATCTTTCGTTGAAGGGGTAAAATACACCATTGCGTAACATACAAGTTGAAGGGGTAAAATACACCATGACATAACCTATAAGTCGAAGGGGTAAAATACACCATTGCATAACCCGCAGATTGAAGGGGCTACATGCAATACCTCGTATCATTTGAATTGTATAACCTGGAAAATGAAGGGGTAACGTACAATACTTTTACAACGTTGCCTTATTTTACAATACCCGCCACACAACACTGTCGCACTGTAATTCGTATTTTCTCTATGTAAAAAAAAAAACAGCATTGTAAAGGAGCATTTGTTATGATCCCGGGCTATCCGCGATGAACTTTTACGTTTTTCTGAAATCCTTGATCCAAACAAGTGAATAAGGGTCCTAAGACTATTCAGCGACCCACGAACCAACAGATATTCCACGTCGAACATTGGTCATCTGGCGATAGATCCACTAAGTAGCGCAGGGTGGTAGCGAAGCTTCAGACTTTCCTTGAGTCAGTACGATCAATAAAAACTCGTATACACACATAGGATACGCACGCGACTTAGGTAAAAGTCGAATTTTCTGGAAAACGAATAGTTATATCAAAATTCAGTCTTTACAGTTTTCCGATCTTCGATAGTGTGAAAAAAATCGCATCAGTCCGGGGCGGATCGGAGGAGGGAAATTCTCCGAAGATATTCTCCAGCGCGGGATATAGAAGTATCATTTAATTTCCGGAATGAGACCCTATTCTCCAGTCTCCGATACCAGACCCATCCCGGAGGAGATGGTCTTTTGTTGCCGAAATTTTACAAGTCCGAAATTCAGAATTTTCGCACAATCTGACAACAATGTATATTCTCCAGCGCGGGACTCAGATAAATTCTTTAATTTACCGAATTAGACCTTACACCGCTATCACACGCTGAATGTGGGAGCTGAATGTGGCTTGAATGTGGAAGTCATTGGCCTGATGCCTGAATTTTGGGCGTGACGCGCAAAATTCAGCAACGATTCTCAGCAATCATCGGACCAATTTTGAATTTATCTGAACTATTCGAGTGGATTTGATACACATCTGGATGAAGATAACTCGAATTTGCTTTTCAGCCGTTGGGCGATGATTGTTGACTTCCACATTCAGGTGCTAAATTCAGCGTCTGATCGCGGTATTTCACTCCAGTCTCTGATATCAGACTCCTGGAGGATATGGTCTATTGATGCCGAACATTTTACAAGTACGAAAATCCGAATTTTTTGCACAATCCGACAAAAATGTGAGGAAAAATTATTTGCGTCATAAACGTATACATACAACCTGTCAATAGTAAAAGTTAAGCGTAAACTACCAATCCCATTTGGACAGCTTTATGCAATAAGGAACTAGGGTCAAATTTTCGATTCTTTTTTTTTTAATGATGAATTCCGTATCAGGAGGGTATTTACTTACTATTGAAAATCCAAGATGGCGGATGTGGCCTAAAATGCTATCTCGGCTCCTGTTCGATCGATCTTGCTGATTTTTGGTTCGAGGGGGTATTTTTGGATGGGAAACTCAAATTCCTAGCCGAATTTCGAAAATTTGAAATTTTTTCTAATATTGATGATGAGCTTGTGCAGTAATTTTTGATCTTTGCATTTTTTGAAGTATTTACTACTAATAAGCCACAAGAATTTTCGCCGATATTTTTCGAATTTCAATCCACGAAAAACAAGTTTGAGGTTGCGTCTTCTGAGCTCCCCTTTAAACGCGCGTGTCTCCGAGGAATGAAAGAACCCCTGAGTAAGGTCATTTTCGGCCACATCCACCATCTTGGATTTTCAAATTTTTAAAATTAGAACAAAAATTCGAGTTTCCCGTCCCTAGATACTCCCTGGTACCAAGATTCACCACGATAGATCGAGCACGAGCTGGGACAGCATTTCAGGCCACATCCACTATCTTTGATTCTCGAATTTTCGAAATTTGACCAGAAATTCGAGTTTCCCCTCGAAAAATACCTCCTGGTACCAAAAATCAGGACAGATCGAACAGGAGCCAAGATAGCATTTTAGGCCACATCCGCCATCTTAAATTTTCAAATTTTTAAAATTTGGCAAGAAATTCGAGTTTCTCGTCCATAAATATCCCCTGGTACCAAAAATCAGTGAGATCGATCGAACAGGAGCCGAGATAGCATTTTAGGCCACATCCGCCATCTTGGATTTTCGAATTGTTGAAATTAACGTCCTCCAAGTTTCAAATCTCCTGCTTGATTAGGTAAAATATGAGAAGAGGAGGAGGGGATTTTTCGAGCACCCAGTAATATTTAAGTGCTGTACATACAAAACACCAATTAAAATATGAAATTGACGTATTTCTGTCAAACGGAACTAAGCGCCATGGAAAAGCATTGCAAGTATAGGACAGAACGAGCCCGACGCCCGATTCCGACGCCAATCCAAACCCCCCTCTACATTTCTCCCCCTGCTATGGCGCTTAGTTCCATTTTACAGAAATACGTCCAAATTAATAGATGAAAAGAATATATTTAACAGTTATTAGCAATAGAGAAGGAGAGGTAGGAGGGGTGCATTTTTAGGGACTTCGGAGGGTCGGTGAGTTCAGAAATTACAGATACTTCCAAAAAATTCACGTTTTTAAAATTACAGGACCGTACAGGACCACTGAGCGGCCGGTCGGCGCTCAGTGGGGCTCTAAAATAGTGCTACGGAGCTGTAATTTTAAAAACGTGAATTTTTTGGAACTATCTGTAATTTCTGAACTCAGCAACCCTCAAGAGTCCCTGATAATGCATTTTGCTCGGTTTGAACATTCAATCTGATTTAACAATAGTCAAATCCGAATTTTTTGCGCGCGAAAATCGGTCGGCGCGCGTTGAGCGGAAACTTCAATCGATCATAACTCCGGCACCGTTCGGTTTTCCAGCTTAAATGACCACTCGTTAGATGCGGAAAAAGAAGAACCATTTAAAAAACTGGTTTCGGTTCAAATACAAAATTGTGCTCTTTCAGTTTGGTGCGTTTAAAAGAAATTGTTTTTCTTCAAAAACTGAAAAGCACATAAGTTAAGTTTAAAATGTAATTTTGGGATTTTGACCTTTAGAATCTTAGAGTATGTAATTTTAGACGATTTTTCGTCCAAACCGAACCTCAATATCTTGTTTCGTTCGAAAGATATCGAGGTTCACAGGTTTTGACTTCCACCCCCCTAGCGCCCCCCCTCCCCAAATTTTTTGGGGGTCTGAAAATTTGGGGAAAGAAGCGCTCCAGTATTAGTAACTGATAGACAAAGTTTGAATAAGTTTTAGTGGGGGGGGGGGCGGAAAATGTCGTTTTTGCATACGGCTCTTTGGTAAGTAGGGCACTGGTTCTTCGAGTGGTTAGCAATAGAATACAAAGTTACGATTTGTTGCGCCGTTTATTTGTCGCATTTTTACTCCCATAATTCATTTCATCAACATTTTTCAACGATCCCATGTAGCATTTGAAATTCAACATTAAGGTGATTCGATGAATGTCATATTTTGTGTCAGAACGGCGTGCGATATATCGCATCAATTGGTTCTATTTTTTTCAGCTACTCGTCATTTTTCTCCAATTTTGAGATCGCAATTATTCTGTTGTCAGGAGACTAAAGCACTCACTTACCAATTATAACAAAGAAATTCGACGTAGTAAAGGCGTGGTTTTTTTAGAGAGTAAACATCGCATTCGATACTGATATCGAAACTGCACTCGAATGCGATGTTTACTCTCTAAAAAAACCACGTCTTTATCACGTTGAATTTCTTTGTTAAAATTGGTAAGTGAGTGCTTTAGTCTCCTGACAACAGAATTGCGATCTCAAAATTGGAGAAAAATGACGAGTACCTGAAAAAATGGAACCAACTGATGCGATACATCGCATGCCGTTCTGACACAAAATATGGCGTCCATCGAATCACCTTAAGAAAGGAAACAGGAAATATTATAATATCATTAGATTAATTTACTGGTCAAATAAACATTAGACAATGATTAGGTAATCGCTAAATCCCAATATTTAGCAGTTTTTATTACTCAATGATTAACTAATCATTCTTAAACATTTTTTCAATGAAACAGTAGGTAAATTCTAAAGTATGTTATTACTGAAAGAGGAATTAATATTGAACTGATGATTATTCGTTGCTTACCTAATGAAGAAGTACCTAATACTCGTATTAAGATATTTTCTTACCTATAGATAAAATAAAATTTGAATAATGATTACTTATTTATTATTTACTGAGGAGGTACTTAATCCTACAATCGGAAGCATAGATTGTATTTCCCTTAAGATAAGAGGTGAATAAAGTGATGGAGTAACGAACTAACGTTTAAGTCCTCTGTGTCGACACACGTGGTGTAGTTGGACCAAGGCTTGTTAGAGGAGGGGTGTCTAAACCACGTTCCATTTTCATCACAGTCTTTATGGGCGCTTCCTGCAACAAAAACTTGATTTACTATTAAATCTATTCAGAAATTTCATTTTTTCTAGATGACAGTGTTGAGAAAATCTACAGCTTCAAAAACTATTGTGAGAATAATATAAAAATCCGATAGCATAGAGGAATACCTATGCGAGAAGGGGAAGATCGAAGCCAGAGGATGGATAGGGAAGTGACTGTAAGTAATCATAAATGCGTGGTCCTCCTGAGGGGGAGGGGGCGAACCCCTGAAAACCCTAGCGCGAGAAAAATTGTGTAATAGTCTCATCAAAGTCAAAGAATACGCACCATTCCCACCAAAATTGACGCTCTTAAGTCCAATAACCTATTAATCCTGGCAAATAAAAAAAAGATCCTGCAAAAATCCCGGGTGGCATTGTTGACTAGTATTCCATTTAAATTTTGACGCTGTATTCGAATTTCAACTCTGCACGAAGAAATTCAGACCGGAAAGTCGCCAAGTTTGGGAATAATGGCTCAAATTATTGACATTTTTGGCGGATTATGGCCTGTAACATGAAGAGTTGATCTGATGACAAAATTAACTACTTTTAAAAATAAACCTCGTTAAAGGAGGGGTTATGCGATTTGGGCCGAAATCGGCCCCTCCACAGAATTGAGAAATCATTGAATATTTGGCAGTTGATGGTATACTTCTTTTGATTTGTCCCCTTTTGCGGCCTTTCCCCGAATTAAATTGTTATTTTATTACTAGCCGTTCTGGGCGCGCTTCGCGCGCCCGTCACGCCTAGCCGGGGGCTAAGCCCCCTGGACACCCGGTCACTCGCTACGCGAGTGACATTCGGCTCGCTTCGCGAGCCGATTTTGTAGTAGTTGCAAATTTTTTATCACTATATTTTGAAGATTTCATAGAAAACATTATGAAATTCTCACTCCACAATTAACTTGTAGAATAATAATGGCAGGGCAAGAAATAGACTATATCTTAAAATGGACGGTTC